ATGAAATGAATTAATTAAAATTAAACTAGAAGTAGAGTCTTAGCCCGGGGGTCTCCGAACACAGCAACCTCCTCGCGGTGAGACCTGGGTCGGTATTACTTGCGATATATCGAAAAATTTCAATCATGTAACGCAAGTACTATCGGGCGAATGGCTGTGCTAAATTCAATCTAAATTAATTTGCATTTTTAATTATTATTCACTTTCTTTTGGTCCTTCTGACATATTGTATTTTTTAAAAAAAACAAATAAAACATTTAGATTTATCAAATAATTTCTTAAAAAATAAAATATATATGCATGTATGAAACAAATATTTAAATTATGCATACAGATACTTCTAATAATTTTAGTTGTCGAGTAGAGTGTAAATGTGCACAAAAAAAAAATAATTAATAATCTGTTGCACTTTCATAATTGATATTTTGTTCGCGCGGCAACCAACAGATGGCATTTTTTTATGAGACACCTGTCAAAGGTAACCTAATGATTTTTATGTATTTAAATTTGTTTACATTACTTACATAGTATGGATTACAAAAAATGTATTAGTTTATAAATCCAAAAGATTTATTGTATAAAACATACATACATATGTATATATTTAAATATCTTGAATATGTTAATAATTAAAAAACTTGATATTATAAGTTATACTATTTTATATAATTTTGGATTATGTTATTCAATAAATATATCATAGTTAAATAAAGTGTATCAAGATTTAATGTGTTAATGAAAGTATAGTTGTAAATAGAACAATGGCATTTTCATTTCATATTGGTACTAAGTGGTGTCACAATTTTCCAAAACTTGCCAAAGAATCAGGTTTTCATTTCAACACGCATAGATCTAGGGTTCATGTCGATTGGAATCGTATAGGTATGTTAATAATTGCACTTTTCTTAGCAATAACTCTTGTATTCATTTATACTATCATTAAGCTTACATTTTAGGTTCCATCGACATAGACAGAGTAATAATAGAAAGAGATTTTGTAACCGTAGATGAAAATATTAATAACGTTATTAATTATAATTTGGAAAATGAATACGATTTAAAAATATTAGATTCTAATTTTGTTAAAGTATTTCACCTTGCACAATTAGCTGTAGAATATTTGCTTTATTGTAAACAGTATTTAGATCAAAGTGTAATAATATTGAAGGATGAGTTGAAATTGAAAATCGAAGATAATCATAAGCTTAGAAAAGAAATGAACGCTCTGGAAGAAATAATAAAAAACTTAAAAGATAAGAATAAAGAAAGGAGTAGAATGATTGAAACAAAAATTGGAGATTCTAATGGCGAAATACATAAAGTAAAATATATAAATTTGTTAATTTTATATAATATTGTTACATTAAGAAATTATTAATTTTACTAATACATTTTATTTTATTTGTAGTGTCCGCATTGTCCTAAGTCATTTATTTCAAATACATTTGTTAAAGCGCATATAACTCGTCGTCATTCATATATGATTGATTTATCTACGGAAACATCACCTGTACATGATCATTATAAAACCGAGACTGAAAAATTGCATAACGAGATAAAAATGTTAAAAGAACGACTTAATCGTGCCGAAAAAGTAATAAGAAATGAATCGGATAAAATATCGAATAGTATTAAAATAGATAACAAGGATAAAGAAAACGAAAGTGAAAGTGATAGTATTAGATATAATGTAAATAAATATGATTTAATAGAAAAACAACAAATAAAAAATAATGAAGAAATAAATGATTTAAAAAGTTTACTTTTAGCAGAAATCAATGTAGGTTTGAAATAATTATTTATATAAGTAACATATTTAAACATCTGTTAAAATCTGTTGGCTGTAAAACTTCTTGTATTTTTTTACAGAATTTAAGGCATAGAAATGAAAGCCCTTATAAAGTACACAGCAATGTACCTGAGATAAATGTTAAATTATTAGTAAGTCAACAAGAAAAAGAAATAGAAAGATTAAGAAATCAACTTCTTGAAAAAGTATATATATATATATAGAAGTAAATAATATATTTAAATTCCATGCATGTTGTGTTAATATTATATTATATCATTTTTAGCTTACTCCAGATATAGAAAAAATGCAGGACAAACTTAAAACACAAGAGGATTATTGGAGATCTAAAATACAACAGATGGATCGTCAGCATCATTTAGATATCGAAAAATTAACAATGGAATTAAAATTAACGCAACAGGCATCGGAATTTATTAAAGCCGAATACGAATTTAAAGTTAATGCCTTAGAAAAACAATCTAAAGATCAATCGAGTATTTTAATAGAACAAAGTAAACAGCTTAGTTCGTTGTCTCATGGTTTACAAAATTCATTAATACATACGGATGTAAATAAATATTTTAATACTGATAAAAAAACAGATAATATTGTAACACCTATGGTACAATATAGTAAAAATACAGATTTTCTAAATACAAAAATTACAGAATATGGCGCTGGAGAAAAAATTAATATTGAAAATGCAGATAGTGTATTAAAGCAGAGATCAAAAATTGAATCATTATTATCAGTACCAAAAATTTCACAAAATTATCATGAAACAAAAGATGCTGATAAATCTTTAAAAAGTCTCAACGTAGTCAATGTATCTCAATTAAAAAATGAAAATCAGATGAATCGTAAACCAAAACTTTTACAAAAACATTCCAAAAATGATTCCATTAAGATTCATTCCAATAGCGATAGTATTCCAAGTATTTTAAATAATAATGATAACAATGAATCTATGGAGTCAAGTTTAGAAAGCATTGATTCTAAAGTTAGTAGAAATAATGTAGAAAATAATAAAACGTCTAAAAAAAATTTCCTTGATACCAAAGCTATAAGTTCTGCAACATCAAGCTATACTACAACAGAATCTGAAACGGAAATTGATTCAGATGCTATCAGTGTTAAAAAAAACATTGTATCATCGAATAAAAATGAAGTAATATCTTCTTTACCTGAATCGATGAAGACTTCTCAAAAGGATAGCTTTTCTCTTGGAAAATTAAAAAAAAATATACTAGAAACGTTTCACCAAAAATTACGTGATCTGGGAATTGATCCAGAATGGAATGAGATACCTGAAGCATCGTATAAACAAAAAATGAAAATTATTCGACATCATCAAAGTATCTATTCTAAGGTAAATTTAATATTAAATCAAAAGTATTCTTGTTTAACAAATTTAATGATTATTTTTATGTTTACAGAAACATCTTAAATATAATGAAATAAAGCATAACATACTTAAGGAAGTTCTTCGCAGAATTTCTGTTAAAAGTAACATATCGCATCAATCCAAGTCAGTTAAAAAGTCACCATTAGATATACTTGTAACTAATGTTAAGTCGAAAGCTATGAAAACATTTAATATACCAAAAAATTCTTGTTAGTATAAATTTAATGTCCTTTATATTTGCATACATAGAATAATTTAATATTTTCTTTATAATTTTTTAGATATATCACCAAAAAAAGTACAAATGGATTTAGAAGATGAGGAGTATAAAAATTTGAGCACGCGTGATACATTTAAAATTCCAAGAAAGTCTTCGATTGTACCGAAAGAGAATGAAAATGTTGACTACAAGGAGAATAGTGAAATTAATCAAAATGAAATATTTTCAAAGTTTGTTAACTCACAAAACACTACAATGTCTGTGACAGATCTGCATAGAAATGAAAAAAACGAAACGGAAGAAACTTCTTCAAATATAATAACATTTATGAATGGGGAACTTCAGAAGACATCTACACCAAAGCGAAACGACTCAACTGGTTTAACAAAGATGCAAGAAGCGAAGACACAAAGTTTTATTATTTCACCGAAAAACAATAAGGGTGCATTAAAATCAACAACAGTATCAGTTGGTAGTTCGACTAAAAAGAAAGTATTTTTTAATCTCAAGGATAGGAGCGATAAAGAATTATCATCTTCATCTCAGCAAACAGAACTAAATGATAGCGATTGGAATATTTCAAGGTATTTTATTACGATAGATTATTAACTATTATTTACTACAAGTACACGTTTGTTATAATATTTTACTTTTATTTTTATTGAAAGCATGTCCGATGAAAAGGTACAAGCAATTCAAAAACGAAAATCTTCTAGCGTTGATAATATTATATTAAAGACGACGCAAGCTGAAAAAATAGCAGAAATTTCTAAAAAAATAGAAAAACAGGTAATCTAGGAATAATCCTACTACTAATAATTAAATGTTTACTACAAAATTTGTCTATAAATATTTATTCAAATAATATATTTTTTTTTAAGCTGTCTATATCCAGAAAGAAGCCTGTAGGATCTATTGAAGCAATGTTTCCTTCAACTTTAATTTTAAAGGATAATGAAAAGGAAGAGACCCAGGATAATAAAAATGTACAATATCCTTATTTAAGTTCAGTCAGTATTAGTAATTCAAGTTTAGAAAATTTAAGTCCTAAATTGGCAGGAAATTCTAAAGTTAACGGTACTAAATTTCCAATGCCTACACCTAGGAATTTACAAAAGAAAGAATTAAATAGTACAGAATCAAAAAAGACATTACTAATTACTAATGATGCTAACTTAGAAGCAGATATAGAAGATATTTTAGAAACAGAATAGAAACATTTTTATATGATGGATTCATGCAATGTATAAATTATAGGTACTATAATTTCAATTATTATATAACTCATAAGTTATTTATATTTATTACTATTTATTTATTTAATGCATCAAAACAATTGTAAATGTAATTATATATATTTATTTTCAATTATATTTTTACCGAATTTCTGTGTCGAATCATATATATATATATAAATATAACCCATATAATCTCTACTCTACAAATCTGTCTAAATATACTTATCATTAGTAAAAAATACAGTTTTGCACTAATTGCTCGAGAAGTGATCTGCTATCTCTCGGTTGATAATATTTGATTGGTAACTGTAAATTCTTGATTATCGATTGAGTAATGTAGTCTCACTAACAAGATTCGTGTTTTGTGATTTGAATTGTGTTTTTCTATATCATTGTTAAAATTATAAATATTTCGAGTAATATTAGTTAAACTAAATAATTATTAAATTATTTAATAATGGCAGAGGCATCTGATTCCAAATCTACCAATCGTTATTATAAATCTGATTCAAATAATTTTATAAGTGGTTTGTAGATTAATTATTATAGGTTAAGCATATATATGGATAACACACTACTCTGTACTTATAATAAATAAAATTATGTTATTCTATATTGTTAAAAAAAACTGCAATTAATTTTAATTATTTTATAATTATAGAAATTCGACAAATGATGCATGGATTTGGTGATTGTAGTAGCCCATTAAAAGAATCAGCAAAAATAATAGAAGAAGTTGTATTACATCAAATGAGAGCAATTGTAAGGAAAGCATGTGAAAATGCTGAAAGACGAGGAGTATTGAAGAAGTCTAATGTTGTTGGAGCAGAAGATTTTATATTTTTGTTACGCAAAGATAAAGTTAAATTACAACGATTAATTAAATATTTAGGTATACTATAGTTAATATTTATTCATACATGATACAGTATGTAATATTTAATTGAAATCATTAGTGTTATTATTTTCTATTTTACAGAAATGAAACGGCTGAAAAATTCAGTCTATAAAGTTGTGAAAGGCGATGATTCAGATGATATTGTAGACATCGAACAAGCAAAGAATTATAAACCAAAGATTGCATATAGAGAATTTCTTAAAATGATAGACAATACCGGAGAACTTTTGGAAAATAAATCTTTTATAGATGAAATTAAATTAAACAGATGTGTTCGTGCCGAAATGATGTCACGTTCAATGGATGAAGCTCGTTATCTTAAATTTAGTAATGCACGAAATGCATCATTCGCAAACAAGAATCGTCATAAATTTAATGAGTGGATTTGTATGGATGGTAATGAATTTTTCTTCTATAATATTATACATTAACACATTTCCTAACATGTAAAGAACTTATTTTCCATCTATATATTAATATAATTTATAATATTAACAGGTGAAATCACAATATCCAAAGAAGGTTATATAATTTTAGGATATTTAGCATACGAAACAGTTGCACAAATTGTTGATCTTGTTTTTCTAGTACGACAAGATCAAACAAAAATTTATGGAGATGCCATTGATCGTCTTAAACTTCATTATGTTAATCCATATACATATAAGCCATATTATCATGGAAAGGTTAGTAATAAATAATTAATTTAAATACCTTAACTATTTTTTCTAGATACAAGGTGTTTCGTAATATGTTGAGCCAACTTTAGAAGAAGACAAGAGGAAATAAAAATAATAATAATAAAAATATAACAAATATTTTTAATATATTTAGGGTGCTACAGCCAAGCCGATAACACCAGCCGAAATAAATGAAGCTCTTAGAAGATATTGGTCACCGCAATTAGATATGACAGGACCATTCCATCGTTGGTCAGTACATCCACCTCATTTAAAATTTCTTTCTTGTTAAAGTTTGTACTCGTAAAGGAGGTAAGACTTTTAAGAATTTATTATATCTTTTTTTTTTGTTCAATATAAGTAATAGTATTTTATAAATAAATGGATGACTGAAATAATACTCGGGTAACATTCGTATTAAAATTGACTTGCATTTATTGACTTTGACATTTGTTTTCTGTACATATTATGTTTTTTTCTTATTTTTTTTTGGTTTCCTATTAACACTAAATTTATATAAGATGACATTTTACATTTTTATATTATTAATAAGTCATTTTCTGTAAATTTGATCATCCTAGCAATTAGTTAATTATGTTTTAAAAAATAAAATACTATTAAATATTATTAGATATTATACTAAAGAGAGGAAAATGATACATTGGTATTGAATTGTACTTTTTATGAAATAATTCGACTTTCCTACTAATATTTTCTATATTTGTGATATATTATAGTATGTATATATATATATTATTTCTATATTTTAATACTATAATTAGATTTAAAAAATTAGCAAGGAATATAAATTACATATAAACAAAATTAATATCTACATAATTGCTTTCTTCTGTTAACTTTTTTCTTTTTCAATTAATCGTTTATCCGCTCACGAATTCACACATATACTAATTTTATTTCTGTATCATGGTGATAGTAATGTCGATACTCTTGCTTTTCCTTCCGCACCACCGGTAATACATGTGCCAGATTGATTAGCACTGGACCAGTCACAACACAATGTTCCTTTATGTCCACCGAGTTCTAAAACTTTTGTTTGCATACTAGGTGGTGTCTGTAATGTATAAAATATTCTTAGTAACTTCAAATTTAAATGTTAATTTTATATTACATATCGTTTATAAATTTATGGCTTACTTTGTATATGTTACCACCGTTTTGTGTACAAAGTAACATATAATTTCCGCTTTGATCGAAGGTAAATAATTTGCCATGATAAGCATTGTTTTCTATTTTAATTTTACTCTCCCATAAAATCTTTCCTGAATGATTCAAACTTCTTTGACACAATTTTCCATCCTGGGTTCGTGTACAAAAATTATTAAAATCATTGATCAATTCAATATCAATGATTGCGCTTGAATGAAAACTGAAATTACTGATTATTTCATTTTGTCTAAAATCGTGAATCAATATATTGCCATTAGACATTCCTGTGATTAGCAATTGTCCATTATGATTAAACGCAGAACACAAAGCAATTACATTTTGTTCTGTAGGTAAAATTCTTTCTAGTTTCTTTGACTTAATGTCATATAAAAGTAATTTGTTTTCCGTAGAATCAGTCACTGAGCATACGAATGTAGAATCAGTTGGATTGCAAAGTAATGTTATAATCTTTGATCCTTCGTGTTGTATTTCCCAAAGTGTTTTACAATCACGTGTATCGTGTAACTGGATTAATCCATTATTGTCACCATGTAAAAAGTAACGTTCATTTTTGGCTATCCAATCTAATGCAGTTATAGCCTTATTCGCGTTTGTCACAGATGAGGTGAATGTCGTGACGGTTCTAGTTAAAGAAATAAAAAAGAAACAATTTAAAAAATTGTAATACATAATGTAAGATTAATATTGTTACCTAGTATGTAAATAAATACGTACTTTGGTGACGGAATTGGTGTCCATACTTTGATAACACCATCGATATCACCTGTTGCCACGTACGAACCGCTCGCGTTGCTTTTACATTGAATAATGGATGCTTTATGTTCTGTATATTCCTCCTGAAAAATATTTTTACATAACATACAAATAATTATCAATAACATGATAATATATAAATCACTGAATAATTTATTAATTAATTAACCTGACTTAATAGAATGTAAGATGATTCCATCTTCTCTTTAGTTTTTCTTTCAACAGTAGTATCCATAGACGAATCCCTTTTTCTAGTACTAGTTAATCGAGAATCACAACTTATGCTCCTTTTAGCAACTACTTCAGTTTTTGCAACTGAATTCAATCTTCCTTTAGTGTTCGTTCTTTTAGTAGACGTCATATCAGGTTCTGTATGTTTCTTAACACTTGTTGTAGATTTTCTATTTAAAATTGGACTAGAACCACCTCCTATATTCTTTATTAAACTCCTCAGTGTTTTAGGATTTTCCATTAAAGGAGATTCTCTAAAAAAAAAGAACAAAAAATAAGGTTAATGTATAAATTAATTATTTAATGTGCTAAGTCAGCAAATAATATATACTGAGCAATGATGTAAAAATCATCCATAACATCATCCATTGACGGATACTGCGGTACTGGTCCCGGATTTACATCTGCAATTGTTTCTATTTTAATAGGTTCATTCAATTTCTGTCTCAATGCTTCGTTCTCTTCTTGCAAGCGTTTTAACTTATTAGTATCTTCATCTATCGTTAATAATGTTGGTTGTGGCATACACTGTAGACATTTAATTAATTACATAAATAACATACGTTAATCCATCAATTAACGACTCTTATATTCGAAAACTTGAAATTTACCTACTTGAAAGATAGTAGCAAGAAAATTATGTAAAGAAACCACCATAGTGTCTTGCCATTGTCTGCTAAAATGTACTGAATAAATTGGATTGTCTTCTGGATTTTTAATGAACGGTAATGCTGCAAGATTAAATGATATTAATGTATTTATATATAAATCTATATATATTCATTGATAAAATGATAATTATTAAAATATTTATATCGTACCAAACCATTCTTTCCATTCTGAATGTCCTTGCAATTCTGATGCCATTTTAGAAAAAAATTCTTGAATACGATCTAATTTATTATTTACAGCTGCATTAACCAGATACATTTTTAATACAGCGTTCTCTAATTTTCTTATCGCTGGAGTAAAGTGATTCTCTAAACGAGAAAACAATCTAATGTCCAAGTGTCCCCATAATTCTCTCAAAGATGTTAAATCATATGTAAATATATATTGCATCAGTTGGTCAACTATTTTATCAACCTATTAAAACAAAAAAACAAAATGAATAACGAATTAAAATTTTTTATTTATATTATTTATTCAAGTTACTTATAAATGAATGTTCCTTTTAAATGTTCATATGTTCTTACTTTAAAGTAAAAGGTTATGCATCAAAAGTAATTGTTTTGAAATTGCATTTAAACATTGACCAATGAAATTGAAATTAATTCTTATATTAAATAATGAATTTTTTAAGTGTCGTAAAAATATACTAATTTGTTTTCATTGATAGTGCATACAAATAATGATATTTGTTGTTGAATTTATTTGTCTTCATATTTTATATTGTGATGTTCCTCACCCTGAAACCTTTTTCTTTCTCGGTCTTTAAATCGTTGTCGAAGGCTTTCAGAGTTTGACTAAATCCTCGAAATAATAAATACTCCTTGACCAACTCATCGACATACTGAATATGAGACATTTTCCCTCCAAATTTGTCTTCGTAACATTCGATTTTTCCTTCAATTGATTGCACCGTGTTGTCATCCTTCAGCCATTTTGAATCGTTACGTAGCCATATTGTTTTTTTTAAATAAACATATGTTTATTAATAATTAAGTGCGAACTAAATAAAAATTGAATTTTTTCATTTATTATATTCATATAATAATATTTTAATATGAATTAATATTTAATTTAATATTTTTTTGATATTACATTTTAGATTTGAATATTTTGATGTTACATGCTCTGCAGGATATTTAAAATCATTTAGATAGATTTAAAGGATACTTTCGAACGTGAAAAAAAAGATGGAGGCATAATTAATTGCTATAGAAAAAAATGTAGGATAATAAATATAAATGTCACGTTTACTTGAAGTATTTTTTAATGAATTAATAGGATTATTAAATAAAATAATTATATTGATAGGAGAAGAAAGGTAGAGTACAATAGATTTTATTTTTACACGCACATAAAATTTATTTATCATTTAAAATATAATGAGAAAAAAATAGGCATTCAATTTTTTACCCATTCAACATTTTTATAAACTGCACACTAGCTTTTATAAATATGAATTTTGTTTCATAGGAATTAGATAAATATTAAATAGCTGATACAGTAGACTTTTAAAAAGGCACGATTTTCTTCTTTTTTTACTATCTTTTATTTTTTTTATATTTTGTATAATATTTCGCAGGACTAATGGATAGAAGATTACAGTTTAAATTCGATGCTTTGAGATAATATTTAAATCTTTCATGCTAATATTGAAATAAAAAGAACAAAATCGTTACCTTTTGACATATTAATTAAATTACTATTAATTTCCAAAATTAAAATTTTTATTAGCTTCAGAAAGAAAAAGAGAATCATTCGACAAATAAAAATACGTAATAATCAGTCAGAACTAATAATCTATTTATTTAGATTTATATTATTTATTATATATTAAAAAATAAAGCCATTGTTTTAATATTTATTTGTAGCCATTGGAATTATAATAGGCAATATGTTATTATTAATAAAATATTTGAAAAATAATTCACATTTACATATAATTCTATGCATCTATTTTACATTAACAATGGACGCGGTTTGATTGAAGTAATATTATTTTTCTTATAAATATGATTGTAAATTTTTTGGGTAATTTACATCGGATAATTAGATAAGTTAATTTTCATATATTATGCATGAAAGCAGATATTAGATTAACATTAAGTCACCATTATTTTTATGTTGTTTTCACATAATAAATTAAAAACAAAAATATTATATAAAACGATCGATGTTATTTAACATTAAAAATTATACTATCTGTACAGTACTAATCACTGACTAGAACATTGACGATTTTTTCAATGACACGAACAAAGTTTTCTTATCACTCGAAACGAACAAATGTGACTGCTTTAAAATCTACTACGTGTACGTTCGCGATTATGTGTGGTTGAAGAAATTTGTTTGTTGATTTAAAAACATGTTTCTTATAATTTTCTCTTATAAATTAATTAATTAATTAATTAATTAAGCAGAAATTACTACGACAATAAGGCCGCTCACATTGTGCAGAAATTTTTTTCTTAATTTCTTTCTTTTTTTTTCCTTTTTTTAATTTTCTATTTCGCTTCCTTTTATTCGATAGAAAAGAGAATATTTTTGTAACTTTTTTTTTTAATTATTTTACGAGAAAGCTTATTATGTCTTTCTGTTTCATATATAAATATCACGCTATCACGCATATAATGCAGGTGTATCACTTAAATTTATCAATTGAAATATTTTTATCATTTGTAATTTTATGAAGAAGAAAAAAGGCTCAGAACGAAGAATTTTTTATCAGCCACTTTATGGGGAAATTTCAAGCTCGTATATTCGAGCATTTGTAAAATGAGTCATTTATTTGTTTGATTAAAATTAGAAAAAAATAAATAAATAGTTTAATATAAACTACATAATACTTTTATATGCACAACACACAGTATAAAGAATAAATTTACGTAAAAGGAAATAAAATGAATAAAATATCATTTACCTTGAAGTCCCCTGTCAAATAATAGCATCGATAAAAAATTCTTTCTCACATCAAATACTCTTTCCTTGGAAAGTTATAATTTTATTTTAAGCATTTTTTCTTTCATAAAATGAAAAAAGTTACGTGAAATATTTCAATTTACTAAAGATAATTAATACACTCGGTGTGTATATTTTTGTGATAATAGAAGCGAAAGTCCATCTGAATCAAGCAAGCGGACGATTAGAATTGTTCAAAATTGAGATACGCACTTTTAAAGCCCTTTCGGAAGAACGTAAAAATTAATTAAATATATCCTCCAATAATAATAATAATAATAATAATGAATACATTTAAAAAGAAAATTCTTTCAATGTATTATAGATCAACGTCCTCTTGTTTGGCTTTAGGTGCAATTTTTTCAATGCTTTCGGATTCTTTGATAGATGTATGAATATCAGCAACTTCAACCGGTGGTGGTGGTGCAGGTTTGACTGAACCATCGTCATCCGCAATTTCAAAGCCGATTGTAGCACCAATTTTTTGACTCGCTTGTTTAAACGAATCCGACAACATCACCTGTCGATTAAATTATATATTATAAATAATAAATAAATATAATATATAAATTATTAATTATATATACTGACCTGTACAACATTGATACACATCGAAGTAAGTGCCAGACCAAATACCAGGTATATTATCGAACACATCATATACATGGGATGCTAAATCAATCAATAAAATTAGTTAATATTTAAAAATAAAATTTATATTGAATATTTTTACGATCAAACTTGTATAATAATTAATTTTACATATAAATTGGAGTGCAAAAGTGTTCTATAATAACTATCGGGAAAGCGTGTGCGAATACATAGTGTGTAATATAGAAATTGAAGCAACGAACATTGAAATTTATTCAAGCTTACCATCTGAACGCCACCGTGAAAAACAAAAGCAGAAATAAAATTAATTTCATAATAATGTAATATAAATAATCAGCGAGAGAGGAATAATCAGAGATTAATTATAAATGATATGATGATATGCGTCTTATTTATAACATTCGCATGAAAATAATTGCTAGAAGCAAATTAAATCGGATATGCGGGCTTTATCTAAAGTGCTACACACCGTTAACAATTTATAAGAATTATTTAAATAATATCAATTTTTTATATTAAACATAATTTTTTTTCTTTTTCCTTTTTGTTAATCATATCAATTAATAATAATAGTATAATTCAGATACTACGATCAATTTTTTACTCATGCTCGTATTTTTTTTTTTGTTTACACAAATATATTTTTAATAAATTAGTGTATGTGTCTGTGTCTGTGTATGTATATAAATGTATCTCGTGTTTAGTTTAATTAATTCAAATGATTTATATATATAAAATAAAAAAGAAGAAGATTATTACCTTTGGCACGTAATCACCGAAGCCAATAGTGCTCATTGAAATAAAAACAAAATAGAAGCTCTCGAAGAAACCCCATTTCTCCCACATATTGTAAAGGGTTGCACCAACGAAGATGTATCCAAGTAATATAAATATTGCTACTGATATCGGAAGATTAAATTCATCATCAATAGCAAACGTTGACATAGCCGGTGTACCGGGTGTGTCTGGTGCATTCCCATCTATATTTAAAACAGCCTGTTGTTGTTGACTTTGTTGTTTTTGGATTTCTTCGATATCTTCCGGATTCATTTGGGATGGTCTTCTAAACGTTGCTAGGTCGTACACCAGTTGGACACCTTTCATTACTTCCTTTTAACATATTTTTATCGAAATATTAATTCATATGTTGAAGAAACATTAGTATAATTAATTATATTAATAAGTTCATACCTGTACAGGACCAGTCCGACGAACTTTTCGACAACTTCCAGTATAATAGAGCCTTCTTACGAATGCCCAAAGGAACTTTATACCGCGTGTGAATAGTTTGCCAAAGTCAGCCAACAAAATGAGGAACATGGGAATACCAAATATAGCATAAACAATGGTAATTGCTCTTCCGGTTGTAGTGCTGGGTGAAATATGACCATATCCTAAAAAACAAACGAAACGTACCAATTAATTAGATTACCCTAAATAATAAATTAGAATTGAAACAAGAAAATTATTATTTTGAGACAAAATACAAATAAAAAGATGATCCTGCAAGTTCATTAATTCGTTTAAATGTGTCCGGATTCGATTAATCAAAAATATATAGAAAACTTGCATATCACGGTTTAGAAAATTGATAATATTCGATATATTTTGTTCGTTCATGAAATTATCTTCTCACCGATAGTAGTGATCACAGTGAGACAATAAACGACGGCATTTAAGAAGGTCCAACTTCTTTGTCCACTGTAAGTATGTACACCAGCTTCGTGAGCGGTATGCAATTGTTCCTCAAATTCCATTAACTTTCTTCTAGCCAAACTTTTCCAATCATCCTCTCTGAGATTGTGACTATAATTCCATAGACTATCCAAAAAGTCTCTCTTGACTCTTTTCACGCCGCACTTGTAAAATGTTTCGAATGCACCTTCGGTAAATCGAAAAACAAATGCACCAAGACCGCAATAAATCATAATCAAAATTAATTGAGCCATACAACGATTTCTCATTTTCTTGATTATTTGTATCTCCGTAGGATTTTGAACCATAAAAGCTTTTAATTCGGACGCAACATCTTTTAGTGCACGAAGGAAATCTAAGAAAGTAACTTTTTCTGGTTTGTCAGACAATTCTTGTTCAGAATTATCAAATTCTTGCGTTGGCACAGCATCGACTAGTTTATCTTCCTCGGTGCTATCCGTTTGTTTCTTTCTCCAAAATAATTGGAACCAAGAACTTTTAGTCGATTCTACTGGTTTCTGTTCGACCGAGTTGAGAATTTCTTTTTGTTCAATTTCTGTATGAACCATACCAATTTTTCTCTTTCTCATACCTACAACGTCGTCACTGGCGTCCTGATAATCTTCAGGTAAATCAGGATCCATTATACTACGTTCTCTCAATAAATATTCCCTCTGTGCTTTAGCAAAATCTTCGATTAGGCTATCGTTGCTCAAAGGTATCACTTGTTTTCTGACATCAGTAGCTGATCTTTTTACAACTGGTTGTCGTTCCAATGATCTGGGTGGAAAACTTTCGCTCTTTTTCATCAGTGCTCCCTCTAGAACATCCTCATTGAGGTCACTGGGTTGTAAAGATTTTTTATCTGTCTTATCTTTAGGTCGAATTTTCGAGTCCAACAAATTCTTTTCGCGAACAGATTTTTCACCATCAACGATTCGTGTTCCTCTGCTACTAGACTTTTTAATTCTTGGTCTAACACTTTCAGAAGATTTCATTCTACCAGGACTAACGTCACTTATTTCTTCACTGGAATCCGTAGAACGATGATGCCTTTCAATAGTACGATCCTTCGACCTCTTTTTCGTACGTTTTTCAACTTTCCTCTCATCGATAGATTCCTTCTCATCATCTTTTATCCTCAAAGTATCCTTTTTTCCAGGATCCTTATCCGTTTTATTCACAACTTTGACGTCATCAATATTTCCTTCTGCATTTCTTTCATTATCGATTTCATGCAGCTTCGAAATAGGATCAGTTACAGTTGTCGTTGTCGTTGTTGTTGTTGTTCTTTCCGTAGAAAATATTTCTTGATGCGTAACATTTGACGTATCCTCGATTAGAATATTATTTTTATCATTTATAGTCATATCCTTTTCTCGAATTTCTTCTTGAACAGCCTGTATTTCATTTCCTCGTTCCTCATCGGATTTCTCTTTCCTTTCTTTCTCCAATTCTTGTTCCATCCTTTCAGTATCCTCTGCCATTTTTTCCATCTTGGCTCTCCTAATTTCATCCTCATCCTCGGACGTTTCAACCCGTTGAATTCTCGTCGATGGTTCCGGCGTTTTTTCACGTCTTTTAGCTGCAGCTTTGCGACGCCGATGAACCGTGTAACTGTCCTCCATCATCGACAACAACCAACGTCAACGATTTACTTTCGGATCTTTTGTCGTTTTATATACGTGTGATTGATATTTAAGAAATATTCAATAATTCAATTAATCTATCTCTGATGAGTTCATAATAAAAACAATAACGAATGAAAATTAAACGCGGGGGATTATAAAAATGATAATGACAAAGATAAATTCTTATTATACTTCTTTCGTTATTTGATTTGATTCACACAATTCTTGTCTATCCTTTCGGTTTAGTTATGTGCACGTCGCGGAAGACAGAAATAAAACCAGAGCTTGCTCCCACCACTACTAAATTGCCGCAGCAACAGCAGCAGTAGCAGCAGCAGCAGCAGCAACACTAATACCAAGTTGGTAACACGATGGGTTTTTAGAGAAAACGCTAATAGTTGCTGCTCACTTGCTGCTTGCAACTTCCTAACCAGAGTGAATTTTGAAACGTTATGTTACTTTTGACGCAACGCGTAAACTCGTCCTCCGGTAGGATGGAGGAAAATTTAGTCGTCGAGTTATCGAGCGATGTTCGAATTGCCGCAATTGACGCACCACAACACCCTGTTCACCCTGTTCACCTTGTTCACCATGCTCTATCTTGGCGTCGCGATGCCGCGCCTGTACGTACCGCAACCCGTTTTACGTAGCAACATTTCGATTTCGTTTAGCCAAACGCGCCGGCGCCACGTGATATACTCTTTGTACCTAATGCTTTAAAGGATAATCGACATTTTCGTCCTTTTTCAATTTATTTTATTGCTGATTTTGCTATTCGTTAATATTTGCAGATTTACGCGTGTCTGAACAAAATGTTCATATTTAATATTACATTTTAATATTGCTATATGGTATTCCCTCTTTATTGTTCTTCTCAGTAATTTAGTATTTAATACTATGTATAAAATATGTTATTATATATTAATAGATATATTTTTAAATATGAATTCGTATCTCATTATTCTTTAAAGGTCTATTATATTTTTTATATTACTCCTTTATCGTATTGTTAATTTTTATATTACTAAATATTAGAAGTTATGTATATATAAATTTAACAAAAAATTTTAATATGTAAAAAAAAGAAAATGATGGCGCCGTCTCATCTAAAAATAGTTTTTTAATATGTCGCTGACTGTCTTCCATTCTCCTACTCAAAAGGGTGACTCGCTAAAGACACTTCCAAGATACACATAAATAAAGAGAGGTCAGATCTTTTTTGGAAGATGACCAAATATTCGAGTGAATACTTGTTTCCCCAAGTAATTTGACCCGATTCTTTTCTTTCTTGTTTTCCCTAAAGAAAATAACTATTAAGGTACTTTTGTGTCTATACGTAAGTACGTATAACGATAAATAATTAATTATCTTAGCTTACTTTTATTTCACAGTTTATCTGTATGAGAAATATAACATCTGTCAGATGTATTTGATCAAAATCTTTTATTTTTTAATTAATGTTTTAGACAACACATTAAAAAAATTCCAAGCACGTGTTAAACCGATTTTTCTTTTCTTGATCATTTCTCTTAAATTTTCTATTTTTCGTTACGTAATGTAGACTACTGAAAATAATACGCGTGGGCAAGTTCTCTCTCTCGACATTCAAATTTATATTTCTGTATAAATGTACATACACGTATTTATATATAAGTTATTTTTTAATAATTTCTTATCTTTTTACAAAAAAAAAAAGAAAAAAAAAACAAGAAAGAAAAGAAAAAATTCATATAAAAGAATCACGCGTTAAACATTATTTAATTAAAAGATTTTCGATTGTTATTTTAAAAGATAAATGGTCTAGTTCTTGTTATAAATTACATATACGTTTCTCGTAGCACACGAATCTATTAACTTCTCGCTTTCTGTATATTTGAATATCCTGAGAGATTTAGTGTAACAGTTTGGGTAAACAAATCAAACGAGCTTGTGTGAATTAACGTAAGCTATAAAGAGAAATATAAATCTTGCGAATGTTTTAGAAATCATTTTGGTGGAAAGTACGATAACCCATTGTTTATTACTTTTTTATTTTTGATTGACAGGATGATAATTTTTATTCGAATCCTACTGTTGTTGTTACGTGTTACATAATTTTATTTTTCTAAAAGCACAATGTAAAATATTTTGTGCAACGAAAATAAACGTTTATTCGTATTACTTTTTTCTTTTTTTTTTTTTTTTTTTCTTTTTCATTTTTATTCAATGTAAATAATTTTTTGTAGAAATAAATGTGTTAGTAGGATTTGAAGAAAACTTACCAATAGTCGTATAAATGGTACCACAGTAAAAAACAGCATTCCAAAATGTCCACACTTTTTGCCCATGGTCGATCAAGCCAAGTTTGTAGAATTCGTAAAGGTTCTCTTCATATTTCATAAGTTCCCTTCGTGCTCCTCCTTTCCAAAGTTCCACATCGGAGGTCAATACTTCATCATCCCAGAGTTGCCTGATCAGTTCGATGGTCTTGTTTCTAGACAAAATTGAATAGAAAATAATTAATATATTTATTTTAATATATATATTTTTTTCAATTAAAAAGCTTCCCCTAATCCCCTAAGGTGTTAACAATTTTTAGGACTCCAAAGTTTTATCATAAGTTTATTTGTCTTGAATCAAAAAATGACATGTCGAATATCGAAACTTTCAATGTATTATATTAATCGATAAAATTATAAAAACGTGATATTTATCAAAGGTTAACCGAGGAAATTATCTGGACCATGACATACATATATCGTGCGTAAAAATTAATCATTCGTGCAACACGCTAAGGAAAATTTCTTCAAGATAAGTATAAAAAGTCGGATTCTCTCGTGTTTCTGGTTTAACGTGTGACCTTCGTTCTGAGGTTAATCGATCGTAGCATAAAATTGCAGAAAATAGTCATCTACACGAAACCACGGATTCAAAGTTAAAGTAAAGTTATCGTGTCAGCGATATTAAATTCAACGATCACTTTTATCACGATGCGCAATCGAATTTATCAATGTCGTTTGGATCGAATATTATATACTGACGTTGATAATAAATTATTTTCTGTTTGAGAATTTTCTTAATTACAAAAAAAAAAATCTTCTATATATCAGGGGGGTTCAATAATTATTGAATATTATTTAGGATAAATTTCGAATGATTTATCATAAATATATCGATCGTCAAACATCCCCCTGCGGTTCTGGGGAAAAGAATAAGACCGCAGTAATCCCTGCTTGTCGTAAGAGGCGACTAAAAGGGAAATCATTTACAGGGATTATACCCCCCCTCTCCGGTGTATATTATTATTATTATATGAATATACCGATCTTGCATTCACATTATCTCGATAAAGAATAATTTTACAATTTTTTTTCCCCTTTATTAATCTTGATTACAAAAAAAAACGTGACTTAATTCAAGAATCATTGAATATTATTCAGGCCAGGTCTCGAATAAAATAATATAAATTTACCGACATGTTATTGTACAATACTTTTTTCTCTGTTATATTCTTTTTTTTCTCTTTTCCTCGTCAAAGCAAACACTTAATTGTCCCACATTTTCTCTGACATAATCGTATGATCTATTGTTTTATACACGGTATGAATAACAATACTTACTATTTTAATTGTAATTTGAATAAAAGAAATGTTGTTCTTACCTTTCTTGACGTATATTAAAATGAAATATATCCTCGTTGGTTCCTTCGATGGTAATAAAAATCATAGCGCCTGCTATACTATATAAAAATACAATAACAACTAAAAAAATGTGAGTGAACCATCGTTTACTCCAGGAGCTAACCTAAACAAAAAATAATCATTTCTGACAAAAAAAAAAAAAAAGAGAGGAAAGAATTTGAAATGAATTGAATACATTTGCATATATATATAAAAATATTACCTTTTCGTATAACCAAAAAACACTTCTTTCCCCAACGCTAAGTCCGGATTTAGTAAAATCTTTGATTCCTTTAAATTGGGTGAATACAAATTTGCTAGCTCTGTTGGAATAAAAAACTTGTGGTTGTCCAGAAACGGGTGTCATAGGTACGGATGTCATAGGCACAGGTGTCTGACTATAAGGGGGTGTTGATGTATATCCCACAGGTGTTTGTGGATAACGTCCATATTGACCCGGAATTGGTAAAGTAATTTTCGGTCTGGGTGGTACATTTTTTATAACAGGTGAATTTGACATTTTCTTTTTTCTTTTTTCTTTTATCTATAATATCTTTCGATCTAATTATATCTAATGTATTATATTTTTTAAGATACAAATTTTATAATGAAAACTTTTCTTAATATCTTTCAATTACAAATTCAAATTGTTTTTGTGTTTTCACTTATTGTTGGACATGTTCTTTTTAAATTAAACTTAATTTGTTTTCACGAACTTTTTAATATTTTTTTTTATCGAGCTTTACAATTTTCCTTTTTTTTTTTGTTTTTTTTTTCTTCAGAAATATTTGTTTAATTAAAGCTAATTCATTCGCGCGTTTCGTAATTTTATTTAATATAATGTTACCTAATATTATATCCCTTTTCTAAGATACAAACTTTATTCAAATAAAAAGTTTTTCTGATTTTTATTTCTTCTTGTTTTTTTTTGTTTTTTAATTAATTACAAACTCATACTACGGTTTCGTATTATCACTTTTCTTTCAAATGTTCGTTTAAATTAAATCTAATTTAATAGTTGTGCGTTTCGTAATATTTTTAATTTAGTTATACCTATAATATTATTTCTTTGAGATACAAATGTAATTCTAATAAAAGATTCTTCTGATTTCGTTTAAATTTTGTAATCTCTACTAGATAACAAATTTTTTTCTTCTTTTTTTTTTTACTAAACATCAAACATATTTTATATCATTTTGTTAAAGTATTTTAAAGTTCAATGTAAATACGGATACTTAAGTAAATACAATCGATGACTACGGATAACTGATAATCAGAATTTCATGCTGTATCTGACATGAATTATTATAAAAAATAAATGGAAGAATGTTATAAAAAAAAAAAATTTATTACATTCGTGCATCTATATATATATTTATATATATAGGCCCGCAAAATAATCTAAACACGCGTTTTGTTATTTTTGCTATTATACGCATCCCCTTTTTATACTTGACAATTTGATTTCTCGCTAATATTCGCTTTCGTTATCTAAAATTATTCTGATGACATCGTCTAAAGTCAATGACCTAACAGATTCATACAACAAATATATCAAGAGCGTGAAAGTGAAACGACAAATTTAGATGGCATGGTATAAGAAAATATTCGAACTCGAATGTAAGTCCGAGTATGGATTATACGAATTTGTAATTACTAAGAAAAACATTATGATACGTTATAAAAATATTTGATCGATTAATAGAAAGTGTGACTAAAGAAATATTTTATTCGTCGGAATATCCATTAAATATGATACTCGATTATTTATATGTTTGTTTTAATATCTTTCGGAATAGAAAAGTAAAAAATACGAATCACTTTATTCTGTTTGTGAAATATCTAATCTAAAATTCGGTATATTATACAAAAAATATGTGAAATAATTGATAAGAAATAAATGACGTCGATGTTTCATTTATCTATAGAAATGTTCATTCGATTGGATATATATGCTTGAAAACAAAATGATTTTTCTCTTCTCTAACTTGCTATTAATTTTATTTTGTGTTTTAAATAAAATCGTGAACAGCACGTGACTAATCTTTTTTTGTCTTTCCTCTTTTTTAAAATAAAAAATGGGTTGTACGAATCGAAGAAAAAAAATAAAAGAAATAAATTAGTAATATTCTTCGAATATATTTGGCACACTGTCAAACGTAAGTACGTCCTTCTAGTTTTCTTCGTGGACGATTCGTATAAAATGTTCGGATCATTCCTCGTATAGTATTTTCTTCGAATCGTTGAAATATTAAATGTGTGAAATAAGTTTTCTTTTTTTTATCGTTCCTTCCTTCGTTTGTAGTAAAAAAATATGATGAAAAAGAACACCTTCCTCGTTTAAACTTATCACAAAATCAAAACACTAAATCACGATGATAATATCACCAAAAAATCAAAATAGGGTCAACAATAATTATTATAATTTTTTTTCTTTTAATTTATTATAATAAATTTATGTGTGTGTGAGAATTTTCTTTATTTCTTTTTTTTTTTTTTTTTCTTAATACACACTCGTCGATATATTTGATTAATATAATTTTATTATAGAAAGAAAATGTCGATCCATATTATATTTCTAGAATATTACTACTGTTCCCATTTTTTTTCCTCGAATCGATTGGCCATATTTATTTGGACATCGATTATAATTTGTTTACTAATTTTTTATTATTCAAATTTTATCTTGTTTTTGAATATTTGACAATACGTATTATCGTGTTATTAATTGATCATTCTCTTTCACTATAAATTTGATTTTCAATTTTTAAGAGCAATGTTTTCGAGTCCTTTTTTTTATTAAATGAATCCTACGATCCTTAAACCGTGACGTCGCGACGCCAACTGAACATTTTCTCTCTTCTACGGTGTCTGCTTTCTTTGAAATGCTTTCAATGCTACGTTGTGCGCAACTCAGAGACACACACGCATTTACATTAGATACATATTATGTGTATATCCAAATATAAAGCGCGATTTAGTTTTAGATTAAATTTGGAATTCTAATACAAAATATTGTTCATTTGAATAGAAGTTTTATTTTTATTACAATATAATTATGCACGTTAATAAAGTTTTATTTTAAATTTACACAGATTTTCATTATACTAAACTTCACATACGTATATATTACAATTATATTATTTTAATTATAGTTACAGTTACGTGGTTTTTATTTATTCAATCATTTTTAGAAATAGTTTTACACAATTCTGTTATAATTAATTATTAAATGTATGTCAAGGTTTGCAACAGGGTGGCGTAAGGGATGCTCGGTGAAGACCGATTAAATTTGTTACGTTATAAGTAGTCATATGCCAGTGTAATCAGACATAAGTAATAACAGCGGAAATATTTAATTTTTGTTTATTTGTTGAACTAAAGCTTTGTGAAATGTAAAATTAATATTACGTAAATTAATTAGTATAATTATAATTCTCATATATAACATAATAACATCTCTTCGAAATATGTTTAATTATATATAATAAGCACTTACATAACATGGTAAAAAAATGAAATTTTATTTTATGCTTATACTATATTTCAATGTTACTATATACTTTTTTAAATCTATTCTAAATATTTTTTAATATTTTTAATTTTAATATAAACGATAGAATTAGAATATATTAAAAGTATTATTAATTTTTTTTATTATTATAAATGTATGATAATTATAAACATTTATCATATTAAATTAATAAATATGATAGTTAATGATATAAAATAAACATACAGATACAAGCTGAAAAATATGTATGTGTAATAAATAATTTAAAATTTATAATAAAAAATATACTTTAATATTATTCAAATTTAAAAAAAATTACTAGCCGAGATAATGGCTCTATCTTGCGGTAATCTTCAGACTTAACCTAACAGGGCAACCCAGTCTTACCTGACAAGGCGTATTTTCAAAAAAGTACTAGATACAATAGAAACATGATTTGTCGTTAAAAAATTCTTAACTATCATATTTTATTGTTACAAATAACATTTTTATAGCAGTGTAAAAATATTTAAAACATCTTTAATACTTTTCTACACACTATAACATAAATGAAATAAAAAGTACGAATAAAAAATAAATACACTAAATAAAATCTAAAATACATTAGAAAGAAAATTCAAAGATCATTAACAGCATACAAATATTATATTTTTCAAGAAATGAAAATGAAAAATAATGGCAAAATAAAATAATTATCCGAAACGAAGAGAAAGCGTACCTTGTAATACTAACCAATGATAATCGTCGTTTGTTATAAGATCGACCAATGAATGCAATTGGCGCGTCGATGGTTGCGTGCCTCTCCCGATTTAACGAAGTACCGACCTTGGTTGTGATTGGTCGATAGTACGGAAGGCGCCTTGAAGGTGTTCAGAAAAAGGCATCGGGGCCATAGCGCGCTTTCGTGTCGCCCATTGTTATCCTCGTCGCGTGTAATGGCTACCGCGAAGTTTGTTGACGGTGAAGAGCCTGTATTGTCGCGTCTGGTGTTACCCTGAGGTAAAGTTAATAAGTGGTTAACAGGCGTGACCATAATTCAATGAAATACGGGTAAACTTTCGTGCAAGATAATAGCACGGTACCGCCAATTTTTATGACACCGAGACGCCCGCGCTTCGTACAGGACTCGCCGCAGCCGCCACCGCGCTGCTTGGGACGACATGATCTGCGCGGGCCAACGTTTAGTTCAGTGACAAACCGAGGCGCGAAATAAACCTATTATAAGAAATAACGATTGAAGGAATAATTTATTTAAGGGATATTGTTAATAGTGTAAGCCAATAGGAACATACAAGTTTTGAATGTGCTGAAAGAAAATATCTAGTGTGCCCCTGTGTACGACCGTCATCGATCTCTCTCACTCACTCTCTCCCCCCTCTCTTTCTTTCTTTCTTTCACTCACTCACTCCATCTATCCTTGTCGCTCATTCGCTCACTCGCTTACTCGCTCCCTCTTTTTCTATCTTCCTTATATCTTTTATTCTCTCTCTCTCTCTCTCTCTCCCACATACGTACACTCGTTCTTTCCTTCCTTCTCTCGCTTGCTCCCATTCTCGCGCGCGTCCACGGAGTCATAAAATAATACAAAAATTATCGTTTTTGTGAATGCATATAAGGTATAGTTAATCGAAAGTTGATAAAACTTAATAATCGGCATTAGGAGGCTTAACGGCGAAAAGGAACCACGCGCCGCGTCGTCCAGCACCGCCACCGTTGCCGCCTCCAACACCGCCAACACCACCGCCACGACCACCGACACCGCCGCCGTCATGGCAACTAGAAGATCGTCGCCCGCCCGGCAGCCGGACGTTTAACCCGTGCGCCGTCTCTATATGACCATAGCACGTGAGTACTTACTTTCAACATTTTATTTTATCTATATATATACATATATAGATATAACTATAACTATATGTATATGCATGATGCTTTGGTTCCCTCTTGGTTTTACTGTTCCTTCCTGGTCTGCGCTCTGCTCTGCTGTGCAGTCTACACTCTGAAGTCAACTATCCTAACTTGGCGTGGCTTTGACGATCAGGGGGGTGATCTTTCAAAAGAAAGGGTTTTTTATCACTGTGATACCATGACACAGGATCTCTCTTACCTTAATAAATGCCTATCCGTTGTGCAGGGTCTAAGGCATCACATCAATGGCCCTAGAATCAAATGGCAACAACGTGGTCTGGTTGAATGCAACCCGTCCTGATCAAATACAGCAGGTATACGCAACACGTAAGGCATTAAAATAAAGAGGGAACATGTCGTTTTAAATCATAGAAACATTTGCTATATGTATTTATACTTAAGCTATCATCAATATTGTTATTGTCTTATAGTTCTTAAGAAAAGGACTAATCTTTCATTGCTATTGTTTTTATTCAAAGCAGCATGTACGTAAAAATAATTTTAGTTAAAATTTGTCTTTCAACAGAACCAACCTATCGAACAACCGCTGAAGTGTTCCATGTTCACTCAAACTGAACAAACCAACAGTTTTACTCAAACGGAGCAAAGTAATTCTAGTTACGGAGATCAAAGACAGGTTTGTAGTTGTTCATTTTAATATTCAGGAATAACAGTTAAATATTCACCCTCGTGACATAACACATTTAATATTATATAATCTATTTGAAAAATTATTGAAAAGTATTGTAAAAAGAAGTACTTTACATGATTATGTATACATGTGTGCATATTTCTCTCGTCAAAATTAATTCATTAGTAGTAATGATATGTTCTTTTTAACTTAAAGAAATAATTATTTTTATGTTTATTAGCAAGCAGCAATGTTTGACCCTCAACAAATTCAACAGCAGCAAGCTGCACAGGGTCAACAGTCGCAGCAGCAGCAGTCCCAGCAAATGTATGTTACGGATAAAAAGGAAGACAAGTCGCAGCAGCAATCGGCTACAGCCGAATTTCCTTTTTACTATAATGTCAACATGCTTCAAAAAGTCCAGACAAACGCAGTTAGCACAATAGGTGCCATAACAACGGATGATAAAGGTTGTTATCGTTTTGATGTACAGCCTGTTGGCTATAATACATTATTAAATCAGATGAGTATAGCTGCTGCTACAAATGCAACTTTTAAATGTGATATATGTGGTCTGGTGTTCGGTCACATGAGTTTATTAACTCATCATAAACGGATTCACAACACTACACCAAGTAATTTGCAACAACAACCGCAACAAGTTGTCGTACAAACACCAACAACAGTGACTGTAGCCACAACACCTGAAAGACCCTATACTTGTGATGTGTGTGGAGCTTGTTTTGCACTGCCTGGAGAATTGAAAAGTCACAAAACAAATATGCACCAAAAACCTAAAGTGCAAATATGTGAAGATTGTGGTAGTGAAGATCCGTGCGAACATCATCCCACAAAAATCAAAAAGAGTACGTTTCTGAATAAATCTATTTGAATGGAGTGTTGATAATAAATATATAGAAAAAGAAAAAGAAAATATTATAACGATACCAGTATAGATACATGAGGAGTAATTGTCATTAGATCGTGAAATCTCATCCTTGTGTAATAAATAATTTTTTCTTTGTGTAGCAATTAAACCTGGTCACCATCCAGTAAAACGAAGGGGTGTTACAAGTGTTACCAAATGTCATAAATGTAATGGCACCGGGATTATATTTATTGGTGAGTGTTCATCATATATTCGTGCTATAAATAATTTGGAAAAAGAAATGTTCCTGTTAAATAGATGATAGATTTAAAAACTTCATATTCGCCATTTACTTTTATATTAGAGCTATTTTTTGAAGAAAAGAAAATTAATGAAAAGAAAAAAAAACAAACACATGAAAAATTTCAGAAGTTTCCTCAAATTTTATTAAATCAGTCGAAACGCCAGCAAACATTTCTTTCTTCAAATGTTGTCACTTTTCCACCATATTTCTATCATCTCATTGCTATCATGATCGTACATCGGGTGGTGTATGGTAGGTAAACACGACGAAAAACTAGATTCTGGAATCAGTTCCCTCGCAAAGTGTGGCGGCTGCAAGGCAACAGGCCGCATCATCATAGGAAGTAAGTCGGAATAAAAGGAAATCAATAAAAATATGGGGTTACTGTGTTGTAATTAATTTATCCAAGTAACCTCTTATATATTTGCTTTGGATGGTGACAGTTCAAAATCTTTATATTTAATTATGTGAAACATAATGAAATTTATTATTTCTCTCATGATATCAACTATACTGATATTGAAAATAAATATTTCATTTTTGTCTATTCAAAGTATCAGAGTATTTACAAAGTTTTGATATTAATATATTTATGAATATAGACACAGTCCAAAGTATTTTTATTTTTAAAGTATTGCATACTATATAATTCTTTGATGCTTCAAATTTTATATGTTTGCATGCATTTGTAGTAGGTAGAAAAAAATTTTTATGGTCACTGATGTTTTCACAGATTTTTATAACTTTTTTATTGGTATGTCAATTCTACTTTATTTCTTCAGTAGAACTGTCGACATCTAAATTTAAGGACAATTGCACGGAATGAAATCTCCCCTAAGGGACAGTTTTATAAATCTGACTCAAAATTTTCAGCGTTGTCCAAATATTTAAAAAAAGAAAAAAAAAAAACAAAACAAAAAAAGAAAAAGTTATTTCAAATTTCTTTTTTGCTTAGTCTCTTCATTTTAAGATACAAATAAATAAAAGAGGTCATTTCAATCATTTTTTCTTATTTAAATAGAGACACTTGATATTAAATAAATTCAATTTTTGTATTTAATTTTTTTTTTTTTTTTTTTTTTTTTTTTTTTTTTTTTTTTTTTTTTTGTTGTAATAAAGACTAACATTTTTACAATGTGCATGTATAAGTTTTTTATAAATTAACATACATAAATTTAATTCAAGCAATCATCATTGCTTTTTATAAATTCTTTGTTATTATCATGATTATATAGATATATATTATATAAAATAAATTAAAAGTATAGAGAAAAAGATCCTCTTTTAAATGTATCATGAAGAAAGAAACACGTACCGTGCATAATCCTGTGTAACGTGTTGATTAAAACGCATCACAGGTCAACCTTGAGCACATCTTTTTGTAGAACTGGCCCTTTGAGGAAAACTAAAATTTTGGTCGTATTTCCAATTTCAGGTGGCAAACAAAACAGTCAGAACCAAGCGGAGAAGCCATTTCACTGTAATGTATGTGATGGTACATTCTCCCGGTATTCTTCACTTTGGTCTCATAAGCGGTTGCACTCGGGTGATAAACCATTCAAGTGCGAAGTCTGTGGTTTAGCTTTTGCAAAAGGTAAGGATATGTGCATGTGACGGCTGTATAAAATGTTTTCTAATAGGTATTTCTCACACACATATAAATTTGGTTGGACTCTTAATCTGGATGCACAAATTTACAAGAAATCTTATTCAACAATTAATGTATGATCGATAAATCTTTATGTTTTCAGCTGCTTATTTGAAAAATCATGGACGAGTACACACAGGCGAAAAACCATTTAAATGCACCGTATGTGGGATGCAATTCTCGCAGAGTCCTCATCTAAAAAATCATGAAAGAATTCATTCTGGCGAACGCCCTTATCAATGCGAGGTCTGCGAAAAAACTTTTGCCAGACATTCGACACTTTGGAATCATAGGAGAATTCATACCGGCGAAAAACCTTACAGATGTAACATCTGTGGTTCTGCCTTCAATCAAGCGACGCACCTAAAAAATCATGCGAAAGTACATACTGGTGAAAAGCCGCATAGGTGAGCGTGTTTCTTAATATATGTTTGAGCGAATCATTTCTATGTAATCATGCTCAATGTAGATTTATTTTACAAGTTTTTGCTTTTATTAGATGTGATATATGCGAGATTGGATTCTCCGACCGTTTTGCATTAAAGCGACACCGTGCAATTCATGAGAAGTACGGCCAAACCGCTCGAAATCAGAATACGAATAATCCAAGTAATGCACAACAAACCAATGCGAGTAGCCAACAGCAGCAGCAACAGCAACAACAGCAACAACCCCAGCAAGGGCAACAAGGGCAACAGGTTGTTGTAGTGAATGCAACAACTCCAGTTACTGTCAGTCAGGGTCAAGGCCAAGCAGTTATGCTCGAAGAAGTCTACAAATGTCAAGTGGCCTTCCCGGAACCCAAATGATTCAGCTAGAGAATACCTTTCAGGAGTTGGTAAAGAAAAAATGAAATAACAAGGTTATTTTATTAACAGACAAACTTATTACATAATGGAATATGCAGAAAGATTATGCGTGTAAGAATATGATGTAACGATTAATTGAACGAAGGCTACAAGAAAAACATTCAGTGTTTCTTGTGAAAATATTAATATGTTGGTGATGACTATGACGACTCAGGTCTTATAAAAATCAATGCCCATTGACTGTCATGTAGGTGTATAGTTTAATAAAAAACGAGCTGAAATTTTCAGTGACTCTGCGTTTCCCTTTGACGCGAGTGAGTAGTTTCGTAACAAGTAAAAAGTAAATAATAATAATAATAATAATAATAATAGTAATAATAATAATAATAATATTAATATTAATAATAATGTAACAACTTGAAAGAGTTCGGCTCATAAAATATGGAAAAATGAAAAAAAAAAAAAAAAAATACAACAATGAACTCTCAGCCGCTATTATATTAATAAAATTTCTCATCAATTAATACAAGAAGTGTTACGAGGAGAAGAAGAAGAAAAAGAAGAAACAAAAAAGAAAACAAATCTACTTTATATTTTGTTACACAGAATAGAAATTACTACGAAGACTACGACATCGGTTTCGATAAATAATCGATATTTCACAATATAATACCTGGCATAGTCTCTCTCTTTCTATTTCTATCTCTATCTCTGTCTCTGTCTCTGTCTCTCTTGAAATTAATTTGCAAATGAATTTGTAAAGTTTCCATTTGTTCTCTTATAAATATAACTATATAAAATGCCTTTTTATGAGAATGAAAAGAAAGGAATGAAATGAAGCGAAGAAAGTGTTGTTATAACTTCATGAACTCGTTACAAACAAAAAAATAAAGAAAATACCAGTCTGCATTAGCTTTAAGGGAAAACAATTAGAACTGACATTGAAAAAAAAGTAATTAGAGCAACTAAAATGAGGACATCAGTTTTAAAGAAGACTATCATGCATACTTATATGTGTATTAATGATCACCGAATCACCTTGAACACAATTAAATTGTTAATCTATAATGAGTTGAAAAATAATCTTACATTGTGACGTCTTAAAAAAGAGAATATTTAAAAAGAAAGAAAGAAGAAAAGAATATAAAATGAGTTTCTTAGCATTGACCAAACCTTGACAACCTTTTACATAAAAAGACGCTGAGATAAGAATAAAAAGTATTTCGATAAAATACAGAAAAAAAAAAACAATAAAAGTCAATGTCATCGTTTTGAAAATGATTGTCATCGGGTGCATTGTGTTCCATTGCAGTTGAAAGCTGCAGAACAAGGAATAAGATGTTTAATAAAAAGAAAAAAAGCAAAGGAAAGAAAAAGAAAAGGAGGATATAAAATAAAATGAAACAAAGTAAAGTAAAGAAAAAAAGAAATCGATAATAAATAAATAAGTCACATCATACCACATAGATTTTGACGGCATCTTTGCATTAAGCGGACGTCGTGGAACGGAACGATATCGCGATAATATAAAAAAAAGCGCGAGCCCTCTTCCGTCCAGTCATTCGGGATCAGAAAGAACATAATAAACGCTACCGCGATGACAACGACCGCGATTAAATGTCAGCAAAGGATATTACTACGTGAACGAGGTTTATATCTTATTGGAGCTGCAATAATAATAATAATAATAATTATCGACGTGCAGACTAATCTGTTTTATAATTTTAAGACCGAGAACTATATAAATATCAGTTACTAAAAATAGATGCTAGTTTGTAATGAAAGATAGTCGACTAAATAATCTATACATATATACATTAATTTTTATATCCCCCACTTGTTACATGTGATGGCGCACCGCCGCCACTCTCTTAAAAATATCAAGAATTAATTAATTAATATGGTTGTACGCTGTGGACCCATTCATTTGACTTTAAACAGTCATAAGTGTGGGCTTGGTAAAATAGTCAGAAAGCACAATTTTTAAACTGGGATGACTAATCCAATGTTAAGTTAAATACTGTGATGGTGTTACCCATTCGATTTTTAGCGCAATTGTATTTGATTATTTAACATTGCATTTTTTTTTGGGAGGGTTTTCTTCTTTTTCTTTTTTTTTTATTTTATTTTCCCCTACCACCATCTATTCGACTTCATATATTTCTTCTCAATTTTGATTATTAAATTATCGTGAGTCGTATCGTGGTACGTATATATAAAAGTAGATAAACTATTTTACTTAGAAAATGCTTATTTACTTTGTACATTATACTTGAGAGAAAAGGTATGAAGTTATGTAGTAGAATTATAATGTATACATTAATAATTATATAAATATTGCTACTTTATTTCATAGTGTAATTATGAGAAACACCATCACATTTCTGGTCACCGTGTGCCTAGTTCTGCGGATTTGTTAATATCATAATAAATCCTTGCAGAGTCTAGGATTGGGGATTTCTTTGTTTTACCGATATAACTTGTAAAATAAAGATATACAATTACTTTTAATTTACTTTTATATATATATATATGTATATATATATATATATATATATATA